AAGACTGCTTTCTAAATGTTCTAAACATCAGAATAAACAGCTTGAAATTTCTCTGTACGATTGTTTGGCAAACAACATAGACTTAAATTGATCCGAGATAAAGAGAAAATGACTGATATTGACATTATTTGGCAGACGGTTTCTACATTTACATATTGATTTTGGTAGTGAAAAATTCTTCGTCTGAACATACAGCTCTGTTATTTACTAGAGTAGATAAATAATTATTACAGAAACTACTAAAAAATAAATAAGAAGAAGTAAAATAAACTGATAATTTATAAGATATGTTTACCGGAATTAAACATCCAGCGTGGAAAATTTTCTTTAATTTTTTATTATAATTTCGTTGATAATTAAGCTACCAATTTTCTAGGTTATTGATAACCTGGCGAGCTCTTTGCTTTTCGTCACCATCAGTGGTAAAATCCCGAGGTATACTGGCTTTGTTACTTCTTACGCGATTATTGGCATCTGCAAAGACGACTAACTTCCTACAAAGACATAAATCTAGGTCTATTGAAAAGAGTATAATGATGAAGACGAAATTAGATTGTCAACTTCTGCACAGATAATCTGCTAACGGTTTAGGTGTATGCCACTTTAATCACTATCCACCCTTTTAACCCTCATTTCTTGTTGTTGATGCCCCCTTATTTATGGAAGGTGGAAAGTAAAGAAATTAAAGATATTACCTCTTTTGGAGGGTCGAAACTACCGACTTTTTTTCCATTTTTGAACCGTTAGGTTTATCATAATTTTTGTATGTTGCAGCATACTCGTGAGGAAGATGAAATTGTCGAAGGAAGCTGAATGGGAGGGCTGCGAAGGCTTTGGATGGTTGTTAATTTCGTCGGCCAAATGTTTTCGAGTCAATAGTGTATATTTGAAGTGGTGGGGCCCGCATCAAAACAGAAGACGTGCAGAGTGGCCTGGCACCCCGTTGATCGCCTCTCTTATCCCCTCTGTGAAACACTCGTCTGCATCAATCACAGAGCGGATCACCTGGGAACATGTGTACTCTTATCGATAGAAGACCGGAGTAGTAAACAGAAGAAGAAATTCTCGTTCCTCGAACTCAGGAAAACCCGAAACCAGGGATTTTTCAAGAGATAAAAATTCTATCTGGAGCAATTACGGCCCTTTTGCACAGAATGCCGTGCTCGTATTACTTTTGCCTTTGAACCTCGGCGGTACAAAAGGGCCGGACGACGTCCGAAGCCCCTTCACAAAAGGAACGGGAGTAAATTAAGTAGAAGGATGTGAGTCAAAAAGTTCAGTACAGGGTTGTACCTGGACCAAATCCGTCCCCGGCACGGTAATCCGAGTTCCGCAGACTAACGAGGTGTCGACACAAGGGGCACATCAAAGTTTCCGCCAAAATAGAAACCTGCACGTTTTGGAAAGCGGGCCTTTTGACGGCGCCCACCGTATGTCAATTAAAATGGGAAAAGTTTTAAAAGAAATGTTTTTTTCAGGTTAAAGGGCCTTTCTTTGGAGAAAATAAACACTTAAGTCAAAATATCGTCTGCCGCCACTGGAAACAGACAGCTAGAGATTTACTAAAAACGATTTACAACGTGATAAGACAAACCCCACAACAATAAACAAAAATTGTGGACTAAGGACATCATTGCAACTAATTTTCCCTGATTTTTTTCTAGGTCTGCAAATTATAAACCTGTAGTTTGGATGTGTCTCGGAAAACGAGGGTAGGCAGACGGATGATCGGATGTTAGTTCACTAATTGAAACCAATCGAAGTAGTGCTTAATAAAAAAAAAATCAAGTAAGACTGAGCTTTTTATTTACAATAAAAATATAAAATCTAGAACATTATTTATTTTTATGCCATATATTTTTGAATTGCTAAAGCATTTCGGACCACGTCAACTATGAGGCATTAGAAATCAAAAAATATATGGAATAAAAATGAAAAGTGAGTTTAGTTGAAAAACCAACTTTCTAGATTTAAAATATTTTTACCACCAAATTAAGAAAAAAATATTTAAAAAAATAAACTTTCGAAATATAAAATTTAATTTAAAATAATTTTTCATAATAAAATATAATATAATTTTAATATTTTTAAATTTAATTTTTATAATTTTTTAAAATAAATGTTATATAAAATTTAAAAACTTGTAGTTTGGACGTATCTCGGAAAACGAGATTGGCAGACACGAATGATCGGAGATTCACTACTTGAAAGCAATCGAAGTTTATAAAAAAAAACTTTTGCCCAATTTCGCTGTATAAAAGTTATGTAAAACTAAGGCTTTGAGTAAATTTAAACTGTTAAACTTTTTATTTACAATAAAAATATAAACTTTAGAAAGCCGGTTATTTTTTTTTGTACTAAACACGATTTATTTGTAAGCCATATATTTTTTAATTGCTAACGCATTTCGGGCCAGTCATTTATGATGCATTAGTAGTTTAAAAGTTTATGGTATAAGAGTAATTGGGGTGTTTAGTTAAAAAAAAAATCAACGTTCTAGATTTAAAATATATTTACTATCAAATTAAGTCGTTGATTTAAAAAAAAAAAAAAAAAAAAAAAAACTATATATATGTATATAAAATTTCGAATTGTGAAGAAAAATACGAGCTTTAATTTTATTGTGAACTGACTGAACAAAAATGCGTTTATATATTGTATTCAGTTTCTGTGATGAATGATATAAACCAACAGGTCAAAATCGAAACTACATTCTAGACGTTTTAATCATTTCTTGTTCTTTTTACAATATTATTACTCAGTATAGTCTTACGTTGAATGAGTAAAAATTCAACGTTATGCAATTGGCAAGATGTGCATGACAAAAAAAAAAAGAAAAAAAAAGAATAGGCGGCCCAGGATGACAAGGAACGAACAAAATGCGGACAACTTTTTAACGACCGCCCCGCACACCCAAGAATCACTTTTTGCACCCTTTGGACTTCACCATTTTAACATTTCTGTACATACAGACATCGGTATTGCAATTTGCCATGTCGAGAAATTCAGTTTTTTTAATGTTAATGATGATGATGTAGAAATTCCAGACCAAATAAGCATGTCCAGATGAAGCCATAATAACCTTTGTACTTAGGGAGTATTAACAGTTCAAACAAATAGCATGTGCTTCCATCTTGCGAATGATCATTTGATATGTCCCATATAATCTGTCTGGTAGTCTGGTGAGATCTATATAAAGAGCACTAGGCTACCGATATAAAAATTGTTCTTAACCTTTTTTTTTGGTCTGTAATTGGTATACAGTTGCTTTGATTGATATTAATGTGCTTCAGTGACTGGACGTATATTATTTCTTGAAAATATTTTAAATATTATCTTTCGCCCACTGAAGTGAATGGCATACGCATAAATTTCTTTGAGTGACTAAAGAGCCTTTTGCACTGCCCGATCAGGTAGAAATATTTTTCTACTTCACTGTGGGTAATAAGTAGCTGTTTATCTAGCTTAGGCCTTTATAATCCTTATTATATACGATTGCGCTTTTTTTTGAGCTGTTAGTAGACCTCCATTTTTACATGACAGGAATAATAGGTATGTTCTGTGCTCTGCTCTTCGTAGAACCCACATAAATTTCTTCCTCCGCTCAAAACAATTCGTTTTATTAGTTTTATAACTAAAATGGGCAGCCTTGACAGCGGTACAAAGCAGGACTGCCTTCAACCCCAGCGCGATGGGAACCTTGACAAGCCAAATTCAGACAAGTCGACCGGTTATGATGTTGCATTTTATTTTTATTTTTACTATTTATTTTCCCAAGGAATCGGCTTGTCTACCATCATCAATATTATGCTTTCGAAGGTATTTATTTATCTTTAGAAATCAGTTAACCAACACCGAACGGAGAGGCTCCAAAAAAATTGATTTCATTGAAGATATTTTGAGCAAAACCACCAACCACCAGCCGCGTCGGCTAGAAAAAACTCCGGTTTGATGATTTCGACTCCAGTAACAAAGAATGCGGAAAATAATAAAAAGTTAAGAACGAGAAAGATATGGTTCCGTCCTAACTCCTCCTTCCTACTATTCGGAATTTGGAAAAAACAGCTTAGAGCATTACCATGATCATCTATGGACAATTTAAGGTGCTTTGGAAAGTAAAAAAATGGTAACATAGGGTAAAATTATCAAGGGTCCGGCAGACGATGATTACTATGCCGTATTTTGGAACATGTGTTTTATTTTATTTTTCGTTTTAATTATAAAAAGATGTACATATTTTATATTTTATTGATTTATGTTAATAAAAAGTGGTCCCCAAAACAGTAATTATCAGAGGTCCAGTTTGTTACTTCAAACTACTTTTCTCGCCTGCTAAAAACTAACTCTTTACCCACAATGAATCTATTGTTCATCGTCCGGTCAACTGTGCAGAAACTTCGTACATAGACACCATACGATAACCGGAAGACAAATCTCAACATACGCAAAAACCAACTCTACATCCAACGAAGATGATGATTACAGTTTGGTAGATTAGATGGGCTTAAACTACTATTCTTTTTTGTGATATGGGGTGTGCGAGGTTATGATCCTGTAGTAATAATAATGCTTTTATGCTTTGGTTCATAACGATTTTTTTTACATTTAGGGTTCCTAGGTGATCAAATTTGATTTTTTAGATAAATATTGAACACGGTACTTTTCTACCAGCCATAATAAGAGGAAATGAGTAAAAATAATAAAAGATTAACTCTTCCAGGTTGAAGTCAAACCGGAGAGGCACAAGTGGAAGACGTCCAAGGGGGGAGAGAGACTTTAACGCGAGGAGCAGGTAGGGCCATATCCCCTTGATACATAAAAGCCTCCTTCTTGTCCCTTTGAAAGGGATGCCAGGCCCTTCATCCCTTCCAGGGATCGTGGGCGTTGCCCTACCTCGGCCAATCGGAACTCGAGCCCAGAGGGTTGAAGGGGGGAGATTTTAAGGGCTCATCTCCACGTCTGATTGAACAGAGTCAGTAGGGGAGTCAGTTTGTCAGTGGTGTTATGCAGTCACAAAGGCATATCGATCATCTCGGCCTATCGGGCAAACTCCAAGGGGCATCAAGTATGATTTTATTACTATTCTTGAAAATTTTTAACAACCTAAATATGATTGTACCGCATTCTTTCTTCTCCAGTCCTTCCTTTATTTGTTTTCAAAATCATTTTTTAATGAAGAAACTATTAAAATTAGTAATAGCTATTAATCTATTACAAAGAACAATTACTTATTAAGAAGTAAAGTTATATTGTGTTTACTCAAAAAAATATGAAAATTAATTTCATTGAACATTCTTGAGCATCAATTTATAAACATGCTTGACATTTATAGTCTACGAAACATTATCTTAATAAAAAACAATATATATTATTGTTAAGGCGAGTTTACACAGTTAGGGATGTATTCCATACATAACTCTCAACACGACAGACAAAAATGACACATCACACGGAAAACAAACAATTTCAGCCCTGAAGATGATCTCAATAAAGATCGAAACGTTGGCACGACAAAGAAAATGTTTTTCTACAACCACCAGACCGCATCTCACGACCTCCAAATAATCATCAAGTAACGATCACTAAACACCACACACACACATAAAATTGGGTATTGAGGATTTAATTATTGTTTATCTTCTAGCCTGGGTATAATATTGTTTAATATTAGCTTAAAGCTGTTTAACACCTGTATACAATTATGAAATAATGAAATAACCTGTAGCCAGAGAACTAATGTTCTAACAAAATAGTAGTAGTTTGCGTATGAGTAAAATAATAATTTGAGAAGAGACGGGCCCAGGGCCGCCTTGGATAATAAAAAAAAGGCATAAACACAAGTCTTAATATAACAAACTGACTTCTTAATAACATTAATATATAATGTGAATTATATTTTAAATTATTATTTTTTATAATAAAAAGGCTACAATCTAGTTTTGCGTTGTTTTGCGATTTGACTTCCGTAAACACGTGAATTTTTTGGAATAAAAGCCGACTAGAAAACAAACGTGTGTATAATTTTTGTTTGTTCTTTTTACGAGTTTTTAGCCGGTCAATAAATAAAAGTAAATATATAAAATTCATAAAATTCCTCAGATACTCTGGAACTCTGATAATCTGTCCGCTTACATAAAGACTCATATAATGTTGTTGTCATAATGACTAAATGTTGTTAAGTTAATTCTTTAAATCATAAAAGTATCTTCAACAACTGAATTATGAGTATATTTTGTAATTAGGTCTTTACTACATTGATAATTTGAATAAGGAGACATCTTGAAAACCTGTTAGAATAGAAGATATCTAGCAGAATATTTAGATGTTCTAATTAATTTTATTAAAATGAATTACTATTCTTTTAATATGCATAGTTTTATTTATAAAATAAAACTTTGAAGTTTTAAAAGTAAATGATATTTGAAAGTGCAAAAAATTAGATAGGATCCTTAAATTTTCATTGTTTTATAATTATATATTTTATAGATATTTATTTAATGTATTTCAATTTTTGAAACAAGTTAAACGTAAAAGTAATTACTGTTTTCATCTTGGACATGTTACTGCTATTTTCTGTTTGTAGACTTTACTCCGACCGCTTTATTTCGTCCCGTTGTAGTCTGTGCCCAGTGGCAATCAAAATCATCCTGTTTACGATTTACGTCCAATATTTTTCTTTTTGCAAAATTGACAGTTAATTGTGAATGTGACCAAGGAGAAAATCAATTTAAGAGGGCCGAATGGAAATTCATGAATCGAATCCTTGCCGGCGGCACAGGTCCATTCAAATCACCCGGAGTGGTCGACCCCGTAAATTGATGGTGTTATAAAATTCTCTCGAAGAATTGTTTTTCTTGTTTACAATGGTTTACTGCCGTTCGTAAATTGAATTCAAAGTTAAACCCAAAGTTATAGAAACGACCTACATGTAAATCACCAGCACGTCAGATAAGTCGAGCGGGTCAGAGTTGCCATATTATCAGCCGGTCAGATATCTAGGACCAATTAGTCTAGGGGCCAAAGGCGAAAAAGCGCCCTTCTATCGTTATTAATCCAATTAGTCCAATTAGACAAATATGTATATAAACCCTTGTATCAACTATAAACGGGGCTCACTCTTCCCTCCGTTATAGTGTCGGTTTCTCTATTATAACTTTTTTTATAACAAAACTTCTTCTTTTTTAAAAAGCCTTTCACACAGAACGATTATTTAACTCCCATTTCCCCCAACAAATATTTACGGTCTATCCCGAGTAGGCGTTCATATGTGGTTAAATTAAAAATGAAAATTACAATCTTATTTTAGTATGTATTTGTTTGTTTTTGATTACTTGAGAGGGTTTTAGAACAAATGTTACCTATTCTTGTAATTAAAGAGTCCTAAGGATATTTCAAGAATATTTTTAGGATATTTTTTTAATATATTTGAGTGTTTAATAGATATTAGTTTATTATTTATTTTCCAAGAATATACGTATATTTGTACGAACTTTTGTGTATAGGATAAAATACTAACTAGTGACAATATCTGTTAACTACCTATGGTTTATATTTATGAAAATGGTTCTAAATCAGAATTTAAAAAATGTACATAATTTATTTTAATAAATTGTTAAGCAGGCAGGGGTGCAGAGTGTTATTTGCCACGCTGAGCGATTCTGGGTTCCGATCTCGGCATATACTTTGGAATTTTAATTAATAATAATTTTACAAAAATTATGTAGTAGTTTGACCTATCGTCCACGACTCTGAACGGGTAGCTGGACATTAAACCCTACTATATAACAGGAATTTAGTATTAGTAAATTAATACATACTTCTTTACTTTTAGTCATGTCCTTATTTTGTTTCGTTATACGCATTAAAAAATAACGTTTTTGTTTTGCATACAAATGTATGTATAGAAAACCCCATGAGTATTTTAACATCTCCTTAATAATTTTTTTATCATCTTTTTCTTCTTTTTGGAGGAAATAGGGGTCTTTTATTGCATATAATGCTGATAGTTGAGTATACTTAGTGTCGAGAGTGAATGTATTTATGAGCCTGAATGTATGATGTGAGAGGGTCGATGGTAGAGTATCGCGTACCCATTATTTGCATAACCTAAAAGGGCGTTAAAGGAATATCGAGTTCTCCACCACCCTAATTGAGTGAATGGTTTGTAAATAAGAAAGTGAGTGAGTGAGTGAATGGGTTTGGATGAAGGAACTGATTCCATTGGGTGTTTAAATGACCTAGCGGTTGACAGCATCAGCATCCTCGGTGGCTGGACGGATCCAGTCTGACCCCGGATACCTTACATCCGGGTCCGAGGGGTCCGTCTATATTTTTATGTGTTTTTGCTTGATACTTTTCCATACTTCGCCTATCTTCGGTGATTGTCCGCGTTTTGTTTCTCACTCTATTCTTTTTTCATATGTTCACGCAATCTATATCCGCCTAATCAAAATTAGAATTGTAATTCGTTCGATAATAATTCAACTAAAATAAAATGTCAAACATGTACATGTCCTCTGGGGAGAAATATCGTTTTTCTATGGAGGACTTTGTTGAGAAGTTAAAATTCTGAATTTTTTTATAGCAAATTGAAATTTTATTAAATATCCAGCCCACGTTTCAAAGAGAACTTTGTAAATAACAATTTGATCAGTACAAGGCTTAAATATATTTGGCTTGTTTTTAGATGTTAAAATTTCTCAAAATTTTCCTTCTTTGGATAATCAGACCGATTTTGATAGATATAGTTTAATTTCTTTTTGCGTACAAACTTCGTGTTGTTTTGAAAACAAGCGAGTAGGATCGGATCAAGACAAACAACCTATTTCCGGTTGGGATAATAAGCCGGAAGCTGGGTCGCAAGTGGGCCACCCACGGTTTTTTTTCTCCATTGCCTTTGTACTAGTTCACAGGTGGGCCAGCTTGATGTTGTCTTTCGAATTTAGCAAAATTTTATTTATGACTTTACCTATTGAAAATAATCAAATGCAATTAAACTAGGTTGGAATTGTAGTTATAAACAATTGGGTGAGATGTCCTCATGGAGGTCTCCTGGGTGGTGAACGTGTAGTTTGGTCTTTTCTGATTCTTTCCATCAGCCTATCCTCGTTGACTTAGCCTCACCCAAATATCAGGAAACGACGAAACTAAATTTGTTTCATAGACCCAGAATTAAAGATGGCGAGAAGTCTAAACGCACCTGAAATATCAAAATAGGAAGAATAGACATACAAAAATGATCAGAAACCGAGAAAATAATATGTTTTGACACTGTGATCAAACGAATGGTAAAAATTTGTAATAAATTTATTTAATTATATATAGCCCATTTTATTACAATAATTAAATGAAAGACAAAGAACATTTAAAAGATGAAAAACATTGAAATATTAAGCGCTGACAATAAAACACAGAGTATAATTTAGATACCAATATTTGAAAACAAAAATAATATTTGGGGTTTGACTAGTAAATTAAAAAAAAAAAAAAAAATACAAATAAGATAATTATTTATACAATCCTTGATGACCTAGACTCACCGGTGTGCTATAAGCACGGAACGGAGGATACAATAGCTCTTAAAGAGCACAGCATGAAATGCACCCTGACTAATTACCCACATCTACATCTACAATTATACATCCGTATTTATACACAACAACACGCGCACACACACTCACACACACACACACACACACACAATAATATATATGTATTTTCAAATTGACATTAGACGTATTATTAATATCTATTTCAATTAATTATTCTTGTTAGGTCTTGGTTCAGATGAAAAAGTTAGAGTCACGAACACGAACGGATTCGAACCCATAATCCTCGGCTCAATACGCCGCTGCTCTAACCTCGGCGTCACGATAGTTCAAGTGGTTAGAGCAGCGTCGCACTGAGCCGAGGATCGAGGGTTCGAATCCCCCTCGTGAACACTAAGTTTTAATCTCAACCAAGAGCTTACATAACAACAACAGCAATAATTAATTGAAAGAAGTAATTTGGTCAAATAGACCACTAAACATAAAGGAATTTTATATCTATACTGTTGGGTCAATC